TGTTCAGAATGTGGTTGATGGGTGTCACACCCGCACCAAATTTGATGTGCAATAAGAATGCAGTATAGACTAGGAAGTGACTCCTAGATCTTCTCTCAAGGACCAAATGTGGTTCAGGAATTAGGTCAAACACGTAGTGGGGGGGGGGGAGGGGGTTTGAAAGTGTTTTTGCAAGGAAAATTAAACTATATTAAAACTAGAAGTTAAACATAATTAAACAAAACCAAAAGCATTGAATTAAATATGGAAAACATGAAGACTGAACGATTCTTCACAAGGCCGAACGGTTCTACTAACCAGGCTGATCGACTCTAACAACAAGCGTGTTGGAGATCGAACGGTTCTGTTCATAGACCGAACGGTCCTGGAGAGGACACCATCAATATTAAAAAAGTAAAATGGAAATGCAGACTAAAGCCGAACGGTCATAAGGATGGACCAAACGATAAACATAAGCAAGGATGAAGGACTCGTTCGGTCATGACAGACCGAACGGTAACAATGAAAAACCAAACGGTAATTCGGTAAATGCAGAAACAGTAAACGTGCAGAATTCAAAACGCAGCAAAAATGAAAGTAGAAAACACAACAGTACAGCAAAACAAAACTTAAACAGCTGAACGTGAATTTGCAAATGGAAAATGCACCAGAAACAGAAAACACCAGTGAAAAGTAAAATGACAAACTACAACAGTAAAGAGGACGAAATGAACAGTGGAACGCAACAATGCACAGTAAAAGACCAAATGCAAAGAAGAAATGACGAAATGAACAGTAGAAAACCGATTGGCAGCAGCAAATGAATAGTAAAAACATAAAATGAAGATGAAGCTTGAGGGTAGAAACAGATTAAACTATGAAATTGCAAAGAGAATGAGTTCAATACATGAAAATAAAAGAAAGTCAAAACCTAAACCTCCCCCAAGGGGAGGAAGAAGAAGACGCTCCTAACAATGTAAGTGGCGACTGGGAGACTTGTAGAGAAATATGCTTTTAGGGTTTTTATATAACCCTAAAGACCAAAAATACCCTCCTAATGAGCCTGTCCTACAAAGTAACCTACAAAGTAACCTACAATTGGGCCAAAAGTCCTAAGGTTTGACCAAATCACCTTCTAAAATGAAATTAAACTACACCATTGATGTGGCCACCCTCTTGAAGTCAAAGAATGTGCTTCCAAAACTGCAGCTTAGTTTCTCTGGTCACATCAACTGACCGTTCGGTCATGAAGGGCTAAGACAAGTTGTATGTCGTTCGGTTCATCACTACATCAGACCGTTCCGTTAGTAAGCTCTGCATGTTTTTCTGACCATTCGGTGCAACACTGCTCAGACCGTTCGGCCCAGCCTTCAGTGCAGGCTTACAACAGGCCATTCGGTCAAAGCTTCCAAGACCGTTCGGTTGTGAATTTGGAAAACCATTCCGTCCCAACTTCGTCAGACCGCTCGATCAAGACATTTGTCAGACCACTCGATTAAACAGTCTCTAGCCGTTCAGTCCTAACAGTGTTAGATCGTATGGCTCTGTGCAGTACGTTCAAACCTTTTGTCAACCTTTCAAACAGTGACTGTCCTGCAAATAGTAATTGAAATAATTAAGTCCAAATAATTCAAATTAATGAAAATAAGAATTAGTCTTGAAATTAAGCCCAAATAGTGAAAATGCAAAAATAATTAAGAATTAAGCACAATTCACTAACAAAGTATGGTGCGAAAAGCTAAGTGTATAGTGAAAAATGGTGACTCATGAATGGTGAATGGGCTGAAGACTTAAGTGGATTGCAGAAAAGCCCAAGTTAAAACGCACAACTTTGACTTAGTGATACGGTGCGTTTTGTTGCTTGGAAATATCTGCCACTTTGAGGGGTCTATCTCTCGAGACTTCATTTAGAGGAGAAAGCACTCTCTCGAGCATAGTTAAAAATGAGAGAAGAAACCCAAAGCTAGGGTTCGCAAGGAGAAAGGGCGAAGTGAGAAGACGAAGTCGTGCCCAAGTGCCACTTACCCAGATGATCGAGGCAACAAAGCATACGTGTCAGAGGCTGACCGGTGAAAATGGAGAACACAATCGGAGAGTCCTTTTGCACTTTTTTATGTCTTTTCTGATTCCATCTCTGTCCTCCTTCACTTCTTTCACCAAATTCACCTTAAAACCTGCACAAAAACACTGAAATCAAGCATAAACCTGTCCAACTCTCTTATTTCTAAAAATATATCCAAAAGCATGATTTCAAGCTAGTTTCTAAGTGTTAAAGGTTGCTTTTAGTATCAATTTTAAGCATGAAAATAACAGTTTTTCAACTGTTATCAGAGATTAAGCAAGTTTCTAAGTCAAAAAGGGTTGATTTAGTGTCAAAATTGCTTCACAGATAATAGTAAATTCAACCGTTATCACTAAGCTCCCTAAAGTGTTTCCAAGGTCTCTTTATATAGAAATTGGATTGGGCTTTGTTTTAGGCTTTTTTATTGTTGTAATCTGTTGATAGGGGGAGCTATCTTAAAGCTAAACCCACATATCCCATATGTGTTTTTGATGATGACAACAACAGAAATGTTTTAATAGTTTCTTGCACACATTAAGAAAAGCTGATGTTTTATATATTTGTTTGTTCTTGAACTATATGTTATGCGTATTCATTGTGTGTATATCTATGATATGTGATTATATCTATGATATGCATATTCATTGGTTAGATTGATAAAACTCTATGCACATTGCATATCTGTATGAATTAATTGATTACAGTCAGTATGTAATCTATTAGATTCATCAGATATCAACATTTGTTTAACAGTGGCAAACTGCAAGTTTTAACCGATTACATTATGTGAATAATCGATTAAAACTCGTGAATTATATTTTCTTTTGGTTTGAAAAAGTTTTCAAATTTATTTAAGTGTTGTACTTAATCGATTACACTTTTTTCTTAATCAGTTAAAATGTTCATTGATTGAAAACGATTTTCTTGATGAGTCATAATTTCCTTACCGGTCATATTTTTGAATGCTATGACTTGCATTAATTGCTTAATCGATTACATGTTGTGCTTAATCTATTAAATACGTTAAATGTACTTCTGTTACACCAGTGTTAATTTCTTAAACAATTACATTAATAACGTAATCGATTAATTTGCATCAGAGTTGTTATTTCTTTAAATTAACGCATAACTCTCTGCATAACTCTCTGCATAACAGAACTTTTGGATATTATCTTTCAAATCTAACAAAGTTTGTTGAGTCTTAAATTGCAGGAACATTCATTCTCCAAGAATTAAGAAGCATTTCATTTGAAAGAAATCAAAGTTGTTGATGAAATTGTTGTGCTTTCATAGTCTGATCAATCTCCACTGAGGTGTTCTACTGGAAGATGAGTTTCGTCTACAATCATCTGTCATTGGTGTTGCCTTGTTGTCGCTGGCCAGGAAGAGAATGTTGGAGTTCTGGTTACTTTGGGAGGGGTCTCAAAGGGGTTTTGCAAAAAGAGGAGTGTTCTTTTTGTGTGTTTGACTATAGCAGATTTGGAGTTAGATAGGAGGATACATTGAGAGGGTGTCTATGTATTGCTTGTTGTAAAACTCGATCTATATAGTGCATTTGCTTTCAATCTCATGTTGATTGAAAGAGACTGGATGTAAGCATTGAGGCCGAACCAGTATAAACCTTAGTGTGCTTCTTTCTATCCTTTATCTCTTTCATTTCATTACATTCTTTATTTTCTTGCATTTCAAGAGAGGCTCAAAGATTTTCAAAAAGGTTTTAAAACGATCAATTTTGATAATACACAACAAATTCACCCCCCTCTTGGTTGGGAAACAAGGTCAATCCTTTTCTACATAATCTTCTTTATGATAATGTAATCTCCTCCAATTATCTTCTAAATAATTCAATATCTTCAAAATATATTTGACAGTTGTGGAGATCTAAAAATATTTGAGAAGATATTTGCTAGACTAAAAACCATTTGACAAATATTACCTTTTGATATTTATTGATATAGTTAAATAAGGTAATTATTTAACAATATCAAATAAAATATCTTAAGATATGTTTTTTCCCAAATTATTTTTAATCATAAACATTTATCAATTATCAAAGATCTTTTAGTAGAAAAAATAGACAAAACCGCAAGATCCAAGTTTTGTTGTCTGTTCCCTCCTCTTAGGTTAACCAACTTCTTCGCTTTTTCATGTTATGCTTGAATTAACATCTTATGGTCTTGATTATTTGCTATTCTTGGATTTATCTTTAAGGTGTCATGAAACTTTATTTCCACACCTCAATGAGCTCAACTTAGCTACAGTTGCACTAACATATGTCAAAATATCCAAAAAAATATTTATGCAACTGAAAAGTTATTTTTAATATGTTTTTGTATCTCATGCTAAATAAACCCAATTATAACAAATTCTAATTCAAATATTCTATTAAAGTACAAAAATCAATTAAAAATTCAATATTAAAGGCTAAATGAGAACATAAATATGCACTCATCAATCATGTAAACAAAACTCATTGATGATATTTATATATACATCATTTCCATAGCTTTATAAAGGTTATAAATATGTATCCCTAAGTACAATCCATCTCATTGTTACCTTTTCTCAAAAATACTTAATAAAAATCTTTTATTATAGTTTAAACAATAAAAAGTCTTTATAAGTAGACTTTCCTCTCTCATTTATTCATAACTCAGTTAAATGTTAGATAGCCTAGTCGTCCAAAGACTATTCAGCTAAACTCGATAAAAGACAAATCAATTTGTTTTAGTATATATTAATTGAAATCAGTTGAATTAAGATTGAATGTTTACAAATCTAATTCATGTCCAACTTCTCTAAATCTTCTATCATTACTAAACTTTGATCTATTATTTTCTAATAACAAACTCGTTCGCATCGAGACACAGCCAAGAACTTACTTAAAAGTAGAACTTGGATCCTTGAGATATTAAACACTTGTCCATAAATGCCACTCATAAACATAAATTGTAAGTGTTCAATAAATTGGATGTTTATTCAATCATTCAATTCAAACTCAATTACCCCCGTCAATGATTCTTTCATTCAAGTAACTGTAAATAAACTAAAGAACAACGTCAACATAAACAACATCATCAATCAAAAACAAGGTTCCACCAAAAGCCAATCTTCATCTTTTTCTTCTTCTTGAACTTGATCCTTCCAAAATGAAACCCCCTTTTCAGAAGAAGTGCATTTGTTATCATCCTTCTTCTTCCAATCACAATCATCTTCGCTGCCTTCATCTTCCGCGTAATCATTAGAAATATGGTCAAGTGTCAGCGTTGCCGACAAACCAAAGAAATCGGAATCGGGTTGTCCTATGACCCGCCAATTTTTGTGCTTTTGAGAACCTTTGGTTTTACCCTTGGACTTGCAAGCTGGGTGAAGGTGGCACCCGGTGCAACGTGATGTGCCACACTTTCCGGTGAATTTGGAGTGATTGGTTGGCTTAGATGACACCTTAACGAATAATCCAGCAGTGGGAGGAGTATCAAACCGGGTGATTATTCGGGTATCGGGTCTCGGGTTAAGTGGACTTGGTAGGATCGGATAAGACCTCACCATTCCATGTTGACGACCCTCTCTCTTCATCTTTATTCGTGCAGGTGTGGGCTAAGCAAATTATGAAAGATGATGAATTCATTTTCATATACCTATATATAGTATATATTTGATTTGGCACGGAGTTGAACTTGGGGCACAAGTACCATTTGGAAAAACTTGTACACCAAGTACTTAAAAGTGTTGAAAGGAATACAACTCATTCGCAATAAATATACTATACAATGCTTTTTGAATCATTTAAAATCATTCTCTTTCTTTGTTTCTTTCACGTTCATTTATTTTATGGACATATTTTATAATGTATTAATTTTTTAAGGTTCTGAATAAGTTGAAGTTAATTCATCACATTAATCACTTATATTTAAGAGTTTGCTTTCTTATATACATTTATTGTTTGATTGTTTTCTTGTTAGACTTTTGTTCTGTTAACCGCAATTTATAGAAATCATTTATGTACACAGAAATCATTTAGACCACCGACGGTGGAACAAAATAGAAATTACCTAAGTGTGTAATTACAATTCAAGTATAGAGTTCTGGAAATAAAAGCAAATAAAATGAAAAATGTCTGTAATATCAACAATGCTACCTATTCATCTTTTTTTTTTGTAATATCACATAAATTTAAGTATTTTATGAAAAGAATTATGCTACTAATAAATCTATTAAAGTCAGTGTTTAATTGTAGGGATCTTACATGTGTATATTACCACGTAATTACCGCACTAGTGTATATAATTATTTAATTAAATATCGACAACTTATTTACGTTGAATAAAAAAGTAAGTATATATATGAACTCAAGAGTCATTATTAAAATTTTGTACTTCATTTATCATTTGTGTCATACAATTTAATTATAAAAGTTCATTTCTGTCAGGTCACTGATATTCATCATATTCCTTACCGAGAATACATTCCTATGACGTCTTCACCGACCTCATTCAAACGGTAGAGAAAAGTTGTAAGAAGCAAAAGGGGCTTCCCTAACACAGTTTTTGTAAAGTTTATAGTTCCCTACTTTTTACATTCTTTAGCTTGGATGCACCCTCATAATTTGTTTATAGCATTAAGACTCAACGGGAGACCTCTTTAGAGAAAGAGTATATGAGCGTCTTACAACTTAATTATCATCTTTTGTTTTAATTATATCTATACGCTAAAATTTTTTTGTAATTATCAATATATTTTTACTGATGAAAATAAATTCATCAATAAAATCAAATTATAAATAGATCTTATTATAATAAATTTTAAAATTTAGATTACAGGTAGAGATGTTTTTGTTAGTAATATATGTAATGTATCTTATGGTCAATTTCGTCAATAACATAATTTCTATTAGCGCCGGATTTTTCATCAATAAATTTATGAAAACAATGAGCGATAAATTTTGAGTTAAGTATGATGACATTTTTTTATATATTAAGGAAAGATGGATAAGAGAAGAAGAGAAATAAAAGAAGAAGGAAGAGGAAGAGGAGTCTCTGAGAGCTTTTTCTTTACATATTTGTTGTTAGTTCATCAACAAATTCATAGTTAGGTTCCATACATGTCATTTTGAGTTCTTGCCAAAATTTTGATTATAGTAGGATTTCTTTACCCTTATGTGTTTGTGACCTTATACATCATTAAAGCCATCTTTAAAATCAGATATAAGGTGTTTGTTTGTGTGATTTATGTTTTAAAAAGTTACAAGAAAAACAAAAGACAAAATAGTAAAAAGAAAAAGTAACAAAGAAGGTACAAAAAGCAAAAGTAAAAAAAAAAACAAAAAGCAAGGTACAGTTCACACTACCCTACTATTTTTAGGTGTGCATTTGTATGATGATTTGGCGGCTGTTTTGCATCTCAAATTCACATCCCAAGCCTCTGTCCCACCAGCTGGTCCATGTCAGTTGATGCTACAAAGTTGGTCTAATGCCACATGTGCTCAAAAATTGGCTAAAGGACAAAAAACACATTTTCTACTATAGTAATTTTTGAGTTTTTGTAATCTTTTCTAAAGCTTTTCCTTAGGAATTTCTTTTTGAGTGTTGAAATTTTATTCTTAACCATTTATTTGCTTTCTTGTCTCCTTGCTAATCTTGGTTTTGTAACATAAAAATTCTATTTGAGATTGTCTTATTCATTTTGAACTTTTCTTGCTTTTCTTCTTGGCTCTTTTTTCGATTTTTGGTGGTGTTTATCTCTTTTGGTGTAGGTTTTTCATCCTAGAGGTGTCCAACATCTTGGAGGTAAGATCTTAGGTGAAGAAGGCTTTCTTGAGAGCTTAAAGTCTTGGTTGAAAACAAGAAGACAAGAGAGTACACACTTAGTGAGGAAGACAAATTTCACTGTATTTTCTTTGCATTGTAAAATTGTCTTTGCTTTCTCTTTGGTTTGTAATATTTGGCTTGTTAGGGGATTGTCCTAAAAGGAACATTGGACAATTATTATTTAAGCGTTATTTGTAGTTGGTGGGTGATAACAGTCGAATTTACCATTATTTGTGATGCTATTTTGATACTAAAATAACCCCTTTTGACTTTAGGGCTTGCTTAAACTCTTGTTTTAGTTGAATTTGGTAAATAAGTGAAGAGAGGTTATACTTTACGAATTTGATCACTAATTCCCTCAATTTTGTAGATTATTGGTATGATTGGAAGTGGAGCAAAAGTGTCAAGCAGCTCGAACCTAGGAGGGACAACATAAGCACTAGGAAAGAAGGATGAAAGAAGGCTGAAGAAGGACCGTAGGGCGCCTGATTGCCCTTTTTAAGGACCGTAGGACCGTAGGTAGGGATGGCAACGGATCGGATCGGGCACGGGTAGTGTCTACCCGCAACCTGACCCACCGGATAAAATTGTACCCGCTACCCACCGGATACCCGTTTAAAAATTACCTGCGGGTATTTTAAAACCCGCGGGTACCCACGGATACCCGCAAAAAATAAAAAAGAAATATTTAATACATATTTAAAATAAAATTTAAATAAAATTACAAAAAACATATATATATATATATATATATATATATATATATATATAAAATATAATATAATATAAATTAAATATAAATTAAAATTTAATTTTAATTAAATTTAACCTAATAAAATATAATTTTATTTTATTTTTAATTAATTTAATTAAAAAATATATAAATTATTTTTTTTTAATTTTTCGCGGGTAGGGGGTACCCGCGGGGCGGGTAGTATACTACCTGTACCCGACCCGTTTAGAAGCGGGTATTAAAATACCCGCGGATAGTTACTACCCGCCGCGGATTTTACTTGCGGATACCCGTGCCCGCGTATAAAATTGCCATCCCTAATCATAGGGCCATTAACAACATCATCATTAAGTATAGGCACCCAATTCCAAGACTAGATGACATGTTAGATGAGTTGCATGGATCCACCATGTTTTCTAAGACTGATCTTCAGAGTGGTTATCACCAAATAAGGATAAGAGGAGGTGATGAGTGGAAAACCGCATTTAAGACCAAATTTGGATTATATGAGTGGTTGGTGATGGTTTTTGGCTTAACCAATGCGACTAGCACGTACACAAGGTTTATGAACCATGTCTTAAGGGATTGTATTGGCAAGTTTGTGGTTGTGTATTTTAATGATATCCTATTCTATAACAAAGGTCTTCATGACCATCTAGAATATTTCCATGTAGTATATATGCGATTTTATACATGAATGGATGAAACATGTTTTTGGTTGAGAAAAACCACAAGCACTAATGTAGAATTTTAATTGTGTGGCAAAACAACAGTTTTAAGTCGATTTCATTATGGGATGAGTCGATTAAAACTCGTGTCTTTGCACAAACCTTTTTCAAAGTGTGCTGTGAGATTTTTCAAAGAGAAAGTTTTTCAAAACTTGATTTACACTGTTACATAGCCGATTATATGTGTGTTGCATTCGACTAAGTATGTTACTGTTTTGAAATTCTATTAATTCTTGATATACCTGTCTAACAGTCATACTTTTAAATATGTTGACCAAGCATTAAATGAAATTCGACTGCATCAATTGTGAATTCAATTAATTGCTTTGACTGCTTCTAACTGCTATAACAAAATTGTTATATTCGACTACATTAGTAGTTTAGTCGATTAAAATCCGTCAGACATGTGTTATCCTATAAATTGACGCGAATTTGATTTTTGTAAGAACTTTTGTGAATCTAACAATTTTTGTGATATTCTTTCAGAAAGTGCAATCTTCCAAAAAGAGCAAAAGAGCTCCAAGAATCAAGAAGTGACCGTGGTGATCATCTCCTTGGGATTTCTTGAAAGAGAAAGTTTGCTGTGTATTTAAAGGGTTGATCAATTCTGCACACTTGGGTGTAATTGTGAGTTCAGATTTTACAATCTTGTGAAGATTGGATTAAGGTTCCTTGTTGTGACTACAGGAAGAAGAGCGTGCGACGTTCTTGACTTTGAGAGGTGTCTCAAAGGGTTTAGACAATAGGAGATGAGATTCTTGCTACTAGTCTAGTTGTTGTACTGCCTATATTTGATTAGAGGGTTAAAGAGGTGTTTTATATTTTTGGCCTGAGGTCTCTATAAAAGTTTTGTTGTAAAAACCTTGATCATTATAGTGCATTTGCTGCGTGTGGTTGGAAGGACACTGGATGTAGGCAGGATGGCCGAACCAGTATAAAAAGCTTAGAAAGTCTTTTACCTTGCGT